CCGGCCGGTCCTGCGGCCGCTCGCTCGGGGCCTGCGCCTGACCTCGCGGTTGGTGGCCTCGGGCAGCGTGGGACCCTAGGGCCGGAGGAAACCTCCGGGGAGGGCGTTCCCGCGTCCGCCGCCAGGTGGCGCCGTCGGCTCGGGACAACCCTGGCAGGCAGGGAAGCGGGTAGGACTGCGGGTCGGATCCGAAGGCAGGACTTGGCGGCCCTGACCCTGCCACCCCGCGAGGGTCTCCAGCGATTAGCCGCCTGGCCGGTGCTCGTCTTTTCCAGGGCCACCGTGGCGCCAAGGGCTTGAGTCCCGCAGATGCACGGTGAGCCACAGAATGAGCGTGGCAAAGGGTGAGTGTGGGACGGGGGCTCTGGCAGGTCCCTCATTCCGTCCTGAATCTGCAAACTGTTGCAGCCCTGACCGCAGCCGCAGGAGTGCCATGGTCAGAGCAGTCTCAGGAGCCCGGGGCCGTGGCCTGCTGCTGGGCCCTCTGCACTTCGGTGCCCTCGTGTGCGGGTAGAGGGGTGGTAACATTTTCCAGAGTCCAGGCACCAAAAGCCCTCAGAGCCACATCTAGTGTGAAAGGAATGCCTGAGAAACGCCAGAAATACAGGGCAGCCTGAATGGAGTGCGGACTCGGAGCTCTGCCAGGACAGACCATGGGCCTCCCGACACCTGCACAGCCGTGGCTTCCAGTGGCCTTGCCTGCCCCGACAATGGGGAGCTCACCCCCACTTCCAGTGTGGAGGTGGTTGGGAAGGGACCCTGCATTCGACCCTGGTGCTCCTGGAGATCCCCTCCTCCACTGTGGGATGCTTGAGGGAAAGAAGGCCGGAGGCAGGGACGTGCCCCCTGGAGCCCCCAGGAGCCCCCAGGAGCCTCCAGGCCAGAGCAGAGCGTGGCTCTGAGAGCACCCCCTCCTCCCGGAGCTTGGGCCTGGGGAGGAAGGAGGTGACTTCCAAGGCTGGGCAGGAGGCCGAGGTCCCCTCCCCCAGCACTTCTGCTTCCCCCACCAGCCACACAGGAAGCCCCGGCTCCCCCTGGGCGGGCGCCCTGCACCCTCACCCGGAGTTCAAGTCCTGTCTGGGGGCTGCTCTTCAGAGGCAGGAATGTTGGGGGCAAAGTTACAACTTAGCTTTGAAGCTCTGCTGCTTGGCACACGGTGGGTGCTCCGTACATGTCCCTGGCGCTATACTGAGGACAGGCCAGGCACGGCAGTCCTGTTCTGTGGGTGCATTTGTTTTTTGGGTTTTTTTTGGTACTGAGGATCGAACTCAGGACCTTGCGCTTGGGAGGCAGGCGCTTCTGCCGCTGAGCTACATCCCCGGCATGGCAGTCCTGTTCTGAATGCTCTCGTCTCAGGGTACAGAGCACCCTGGGGGCGTGGGCCGTGTGTATGCTCCCTGGATTCTGCACTCACTCCCTCCCTCCTCCCTCAAGCCTGCTCACTGCTCTCAGAAGCCCTCCGGCGCCCTCCCTCCCTTCACCCCATAAGCCCCTCCTTCCCCGTCGGCTCCCTTTGCTTGAGAGGTGCGTGGAGCAGTGTCAGGAGTCGCTTTAACGCGGTGCCTCAGTTTCCTCACTTGTAAAATGGCACCCACGGGAGCACCTGCCTCGCAGGATTGCAGTGAGGGTGACTGGTCGGCAGATTGCAGCCAGCCATCAAAGGTGTGCAGAGGGAGTAAGCGGCCGGCTAGGCATGCGGCGGGCCACGCCCAGGGCCAGAGGAGCTCGGCGGGTGCAGAGCAGCCGCGGCAGACGGGCAGGAGCAGCGGGCTGGCACCTGGGCAGGCGTGGGGGCAGCGCCCGTGTGGGAGGAGCAGGCTCCACGTTTCTGTGCAGCCTGGCACCCGGCCGCCTCCCGGTGCCAAGCCGGAACGAGACTCGCGGAGGCACAGCCTGATGTCTTTAAGACGCTCCCGGTGCGCCCAGGCGTTAACACGCCGTCTATCACCACGGCATCGAGGTGCTTCGACAGCCGCTCCCCCCAGGAGCTGGGGAGCAGCGTGAAGCAGATTATCTGTGTCTCGCTGTGACACGTGCGATCATGCGCTACCGTGATGGATCAACAGTCGGTGCCGCCGGGGTCCCTGCCCGCTCCACCCCCGTGCGCCTGAACGCCTTGTGTTCCTGGTCTCCGGCACCTGCTGGGTGGCCCCGCTCCCACTTGCCGCCCTCCGGCCCCCACACCCTTGCCTTCCATCACTCACGTGCGAAGAGGCGGGGGAGAAGGGATTCGGGGAAGCGCTGAAAGGCGGTCCACGGCCACGTTGCGGGGCTGTAGCCAGGGTGCCCCCCAGATGTGTATGAGGAGCCTGGGGAGAAGGTCTTGGGCATCACCTGGCCTGGCCCCCAGAATCCGGCCCCGCAGGCCTGCCCTGACCCTGGGCACGTCGTCATCTCGCCTCAGGCCCACGGCGTCTCCTTCGGGCGCTGAGGGCAAGTGTATTCCTCTGCAGGTTGTGGGCGGCCACCTAGCTGTGCCCCCGAGTGCAGCAGACACCAACTGTGCCTGCGTGGGGGAGGACAGGGCCGGGCCTGAAGCCAGGCGGAGAAGCAGCTCGTGTGGCACAGTGGGGGGCTGGGGAGCTGAGGTTGAGGGAAGCCACAGGGAGGAGTCACAGCTGAGGCAGGTGGTGTCCCGGGGCATCTTCCGGGCCACAGCAGTCCACGGCTGGGCACTTAGTGGCAGCCTGCCCTTGGGTCCCAGGCGGCACTGGGGCTTCTCTAGGGCCAGGGTTATGTGGCTTCTCACCCTCACCCTCACCCCGTCCGTCCTCCCACCCCCCGCAAAGCCTATTCCTTGGTAGCACAGTGCCGAGGAATTCTCAGAGCACTTCCTCACAGGGGACGTGTGTAGACGTGGTTGTGGTCATTTTAAAATTGTCTCAGAGGTGAAGTGCTAACCTGGGACCCGAGGTCACTCACGGAAACCTTGTGCCCTCTTCTGCCTGGCCACCACTGTTCCCTGGACAGGACCTCTGCTGAGAGGGGCCGGGGAAGGCTGACCACCTGTTCCTGGGTCCCAGACCCCAGCTCTTCTCCCGCCATGCGGCCTGGACAAGTCGAAGCCCACATTTGTCCCTGGCGCCGGCCCCACCAGGCTGTTCCCACTCTCTGAGAGGAAGCGTGGGGTTGGGGTGAGGGGGTGCCGGGGCAGCCTTGAAGAAGCAGAAGAGTGGGCCGGGAGGAGCTTGTGGGAACACAAAAGGGAACTGTGGTGCTGGTGTGGGCTGTCCCTTCCAGGAGCTAAAGAGGAAGGAGGCGCAGGATCCAAGCGCCCCAGTCGAGGCGGCCTTGGATAGAGAGCTGGCTTCTGTGGTGGCGGGCTCCGGCCAGCCCCCTCATGGCGCCCCGGCTCCTCGCTTTGTTCCTGGTGCCTTGGACCCTGCAGCTGACAGGTACTGTCTGTCTTCTCCAGTCCCTCTCTGTCTCTCTCTCATACGCGCGCACGCGCACACACACACACACACACACACACACACACACACATCAGAGCGCCTTTCATCCGACCGTGCTGCTAATTCCTGGGGACCTGTCTCGGGGGACTTGCTGCTGGCTGTTTGAACACTGCCAACTTCACAGGGGAAGCCTTCAGGGACCGCGGAGGTGTTTAGCTAATGCCTTGCCAAGGTGGCTTTTGAAAGGACGGGGGACCTTGCTGTCTTCCTTCGCCGTTGTGTTAACAGGTCCCCCTCCCCTGGCCTAGCCTGGCCTCCTGGCCCTAAACAAGGAGGGTGGGCGTCGTGTGGTGGGGCGGAGTGTGGGGTCAGTGGGGAGGGTGAGCTCGCCGCCCGCCCAGCAGATCTTAGGTGCCGACGTGGTGGAACTCCCTTGAGTTGAAGCCGGCAAGGAACACAGCCACCAGGGAAGAGGGAAGGCCAGGGGCCAGCCACCCCCAGCGAGGCAGCCCGGGGCCCCGAACTGTCATGGCCGCCAGAGGGGGCAGCACCTCCCACCTCTTGAGACACAGTGGAGTATTTTATGACAGGGAACAGCGCTGGGGCCCTTCTCCAGGTCCCAGGCTCCCGGGAGCAGGGTGGCTTGGATCCAAACCGGGCCACACAGTGGGTGGCTTCGGGGTGAGTTCATCCTGGCCAGGGACCGCCCGCTGTGCAGGGTGGACGCTTTTCCTTGGTATCCACTTAGATTTTTGTGAGGCTTCTGGGAGCTGCCCCAACCCCCATTCTGTGTCTCCCCACACTTCCATTCATAGTGTAAACAGTTACCCTGATGGTTGTGAACTAGCCTTTATCAAGCCCTTAGCCGGGTACCTGCTGCCCACCCTCACGGCATCTAACTACCACCTAATGTCCCCACAGCACCATCGTAGAGACAGAGGTCCAGGTAGGTAGAGGTCAGGGTCAGGCCCAGCTCAACCTCAGGCCCAGCCAGGATGGCTGGCCGGCGGGCCCAGGCGCCTCTCCCCTTTCTTTGTGAAGAATGCCCTCCTGGAAAAGCCTGCCGTACCTCTTACCCCCGCAGCCAGGGGCAGAGATGACCAGAGCGGCTTGCGGGGACAATGTCTTTGAACCCCACTCAGTCACTTTAAGTCCATTCCCCAAGCCCCATCCTTTCTCTCTGTGCGGTCCTGCCACCCCCAAAGCCCCCAGCAGACCCCACCTGGCTGGAAGAGGCTCCGCCAGGCCCTGCTGCTGCCTCTGTGGAAACCTCTTTTGTAACAGCAGGAACTGCAAACAAAAACAGGCTTTTTTGCAATATTGCAACAAATGCTATAGCAGAGAGAAATGCTTCCTGCTCTTTCACAAGACGGGAAAGCACCCCACAGTCACCTGAGCCCCACTGCAGCAGCAAACACGTCTCCTTTCTCGGGTGCTGCCCAACATCCCTTCCCACACTCCTGCCTCCCTCTGGGTTTGAAGGCAGGGATTCTGCCTCCCCCAGCCCCCTACCCCGCCCCACTGCAAGCTACAGTCTGCGGCGCACAGCCTCATGGTATCCCTGAGGACGTTATCAGTGTCCTCACCGAGGCCTGCCCCGTGTCCTTGGACCACGCCCGGACACAACAGGATATAGGATTAGATGTGCAGCCCGGGGACATGCAGCACTCTCAGTTGGGATGTGAGCAGGGCTCTGCCTCTGGCACTGGGACACTGGGTAAATTATTTAACATTGCTGTGCCTCAGTTGTCTCATCTGTTAAATGGGTACCATGATAATGCCCATCCTGCCTTGGGACATCCTGAGGACTGGCAGAAGTTTAGTACCCATCATATCAGCAGCCAGCAGGGCCAACTGAAACCTGAGACACCAAGGACTCACGGAGTCCTGTCCCTGCCGACCTCTTTGCTGCCAGCCCTTCTCCCACTGCTCCTGCGGCTGCTGGGGGCTGGGCCTGGGCCTGCTTGCCTCTGCAGAGCCCTCGGCAAGCACTGCTGTTCTCACACCTTTCCACCAGGCCCAGGCACCCCCCAGGACCCGGGCGGCCACCCCTGAGTTGAAGGCCCATCTTTCCTCTTCAAGGCCGTGTGCCCTTAGGCCATTCACTTCCTAATTCTGGGCCTCAGTGTATTCCCAAAAATGTCAGTTTGCTTTTTCTGCCCGGCCCTTCCAGAGCTCTGAGCTGTATTGATTTCTCACACACCCACTGAGGAGGACCAGTTCTCGCGGGAGGGATGGAGGAGAGTGAGCCCCAGGCCCCGCACTCCCCTGCTGGGAACTGTGGGACTCGCCCCGAGAACAGGACCCCAGGTGGAAATTGCCACTGGCTTTGACCTCAGGTGGGACGGCTGCCTTTGTTGTCCAAAAGATGTATCGGTGCTCTGCCTTTTCCAGGCCAGGGCTTCCTGCCTCCCTTCCCGCCGCTCGGGCCTCTGTCACCGTTGCCCTCTGCTTTTCATCTTTGTCTAATGCCAATAGAGAGCTCAGGAGGCAGAGGCGGGCGGAGGTGGGGCCCGGGAGTGCTGGAAAGGCTGCCGGCTGGCTGGCGGGGCCCTGTGGCAGGAGGAGGGGGAGCAGGCGGGGTGGGGGGCACACAGCATGAATAAAGGCTGGGAGGCCAGAAGGCAGAGCCGGGGGAAGGACTGCTGAGAGGTTCTGTTTGAGTGGAGTCTCACAGAGAAGTAGAATGCAAGACCCTTCCTGGAGGATTACAAATGCCTGCCAGGTAAGGGTTCAGGTACCTGTCCTATCTTCTTTGCTTTCTCCTTTGTGATTATGAAAAATAATACAAAAAAGTACAGTGCTGAATAATAAATGCTGTACAACAAAGTTCTGTGTGACTACTACACAGGCCAAGATGGAAAAGAACATTCTGGTTCATTCCAGAATGTTCCAGAACATTCTTCCCAAGATACTCTCTCAGAGGGTGGACTGAGGGGCATCACCTTGTGTTAGGGTAATCATTGCTGGCCTTTCTTTATACCTTTATTATTTAGTACCTCATTAAACCATATAGACTAGTTTGCTTGTTTTGGTTTTTGGTTCTGAGGATGGAGCCCAGAGCAAACATTCTTCCACTGAGCTATATTCCTGCCTACTTTGCCTGTGTTTGAACGTGGTATAATTGCGATGCTACTGTGTATATTCTTTGGGATGTGCTTCCTTCTTTCAGCATTTTGCCTTTTAAAGCATATGGAGTTGATGGTGTGGCTGAAACTTGTTTTCATTGCCGTAGAGCAAGAGTAGCAGACTATAGCCCTCAAGCTAAATCCACCCCTCTGCCCCTTTTGATATGGTCTGGGGGTTCTGAATGGTTTCTTATGTTTTTGAATGGTTGGGGAAAAAAAAAATCAAAAGAAAAAAATTTTTACATTAGATTTTATTGGTACATTTTAGATATACATCACCATCACATTCATCACAGAGAATTTGTACCTGTACATGATATAACTTCTTTTTTTCCCCATTCCCCTATCCTCCCTTCAACCCCTCCTCCCCTCCCCATTTACAAAGCTTTGTTTCCATGTTTTCCTTCTTTTCTCATTTTTTTTTTACCTTTCTCTTCTTTCTTCTCCCCCCTCTCCTCTTTCTTGTTCCCCTTCCCATTTGAACATTTTCTTCCTATTTCAAAATACATTTTGGTCCTTACTTACACTTTCAGTTTCTCACACCACAGAAACAATGTGGTATTCACACATGTGTGTCTGATTTATTTCACTTAAGAGTATGGTCTCAAGGTACATCCATTTTCCTACAAATGTCTTGAGCGTATGCTTCTTTATGGCAGAGTAGTACTCCATTCTATAAAAAGAAGAATATTTTGTGATGTGTAAAAATTTTTAAAAATTCAAATTTCCACATCCATAAAGTTTTGTTGGAACACAGCTACACAAACTTGTTCACGGGTCACGTGTAGCTGCTTCCGGCTATGATGGTAGAGTTGAGAAGCTGGGATGCAGATGGCATGGCCCAGAAAGATGCCCATGATTTTCACTGTGGGGAACACGACTGTGGACTCCTGCTGAGGGGCAGCCCAGTGAATGGCTCTACTGTGACTTCTTTAGTGATGCTGGGCACTTCAGGGGCTTCCCGTTTGGGGCTGTGAACTTGTGTGTGTGTGTGTGTGTGTGTGTGTGTGTGTGTGACTGTGTGACTGCGTTTGGCATCTCCAGGGCCTATTGAAGCTACTTCTGCCATGGGTAGTGAGTGTCCACAAGGCAGGGACTGCCTGGGCTCGTGTGGTTTCACATCCCTGGTACCCAGCAGGGGCCTGGCACCCGGGGCATGCTCAGGAAAGTGTAATGATAACAGACAGCCCTAGGAGTCATAAGCAGGGTGGAGCTGAGGTGCCACCAAGAGGTGAGACAGGTCTAGGTGGTCATCCAGGTGGGAGGTGGGGCCACAGGCTCCTCTCCAGCATGGGCAGAGTACCAAGCCCCTTGGGCATGGGGTGCTAGGGAGCCGTAGCTATGGAGACAGGATCTGCCTCTCCCCCGCTCACCAGGATCTACAAGGAACCATCGCAGGCGCAGGCACCGGCACCAGGGACCCCTGGGGAGGGGCTGGGAGGCCTCGGCTACGACTCAGGGTCGGAGAGCTTGGTGGGTGATGGAACTTGGTTCTTACTTCTGCAGGCTATGAGTTTGCGGGCATCCTGCCCGCCAGGCTCCTTTGAGCCCAGTAGCTATCCCCTGTCACCCCTCCTCTGTGCTTGGGGATCGGGATCCTCAGAGGCTGACGGTCTCACCATGGCCTCTCCAGGTCCTTATAGCGCTGGTGACTCACTGTCCCTAGACGCCGCCTGATGTTGCCAGAACAGGACCTCCTGCGGGCCCAGCGCAGGAGGGACTCTGGCCAGCAGTGCTACGCGGTGTCTTGGCTGGAGCTCAGGAGTGGCTGCCTCTGAAGGTCCGTCTGATGAGTGTCAGTGCCCCGGAGCTGAGGTCTAGGGGCTGGGGGCTGTGCAGGGTGTCAGGAAGAGCCAAAGAGGCGGCGTGGTG